TTTCTTAAGTCCTATTGCGACAACATCATTGACACTCATATGGCACTATTTTCATGCGTTTATAAAACTTTTTTGAAACTAAATTTCCTTAATGTCATTTTAATAGAATCTCAGCTGAAAGTTACTGTTTGGTACATTGATTTAATTGAAACGTAAAATATTTTTACTATTAAAATTGCTATTTCAATTTAGGTGACTTACTTGAAAAACTCGAATGAGCTAAGTAACACCAAAGTCATAGCTTATTTTGTACCGCATGATGAATTTTAAAGCAATGATAGTCATATTTTTCATGCACTTGGCCCATACTAGGAGTGGTAGGCATAACACGACATTCTTTCTATTCCACTTTCTTCGATCAGACAACTTCCCCTTCCTCATTTCTTAAATAGACATTTCATTCTTCACACAGTACATCCCAACCTTTCTCGATCTCCCTCTAACCAATCACAAGACTGTCACCTTCTCGTAGGATGGCCATCATGGTATGGTTAAACTATCACTACACTTAAAGCAAGAAAGTACCTTTAAACACCCATGAATGTACAAGCACATAGGTTATAGTTTTCATTAATTGTCAGGTATCCTCCAGATTTCCTTTCAAATGCGGAGTACGCGATAAAGCTTTGCGAGAATGGTGCTGTAATATCTGTGTGTAGTCAGTAGTTAATACGACACACGCAATTCCATTGGAACGCGCCGCCATTGATCTCGTGCCGCAGATTAAAAATCACGATATGGCTAGGGTCGCCACGATGGTTGTGAAAATTTGAGACACAAATCCTTCTTTTATGTATAGATCTAATAAATAACAACGGTAGTATAGTTGATCAGTTGACCACGGTCCGAGGGGATGGGATTATACCCTACAGTAAAGTAAAAGTAAAGTAACAGCCTATACATGTCCCACTGCTGGGCAAAGGCCTTCTCTATACAGAGAGGGTATCAGGGCATAGTCCACCAAGCGGCCCCACTGCGGATTGGCGGACTTCATATATCTTCGAAATATATATATATTTTTGTTATTATTTCGAAAATATGCAGGTTTTCTCACGATTTTTCCTTCACCGCGGAGCACGTGATAAGTCAGCACTTAAAGTTAAAAACTTCATTGGTGCCGGCACCGGGGATCGAACGCAGGTTGCTCGAGTATATTGAATTAAAGGCGAGCGCCCGGACACTAAGCTATCACGGTTCTCTACAGTATTATGAAGTATCACCATAATATCGTACGACTTATAGCTCCGATAACTATTTCTAGGGTGTCGTAACAAACATTGTATGAGGCGACTTATGTCAAATATTCAAAATAAATTTATAAGTGGTAATTTAGGTCGTTTAGAAAAACTTATATTACGCGAGATCGAATAGTGATTATAAAACTCCTTAATTATGATTAACAATAACCATATAATTGTTTACTTGTTATGCCATTTTGTGATCGGGACGATAAGGCCAAACGTCCGTCTAAACGCTGTCGCCTGGTGACACTACCACGCCACGGCCGCCGTAATGCCCGCCATCAATAAAAGAACCCTGTCTCCTGGGAACGTCGTAGACATGTGCTGATTTGTAATTTGCGACCCGCCCGCCCTCTGCCGTCCCTAATTGGCTGACTCCATACAATTACGGCCACCGGGGTGTAATCGCAAATATTAATTGGCGTCCAATAATTCACTAGGGTCATATTAAGTGCGAAAAAACTTCGCTACAATTTTTTTCAAGAGATTCATTTAATTGCAATTTATTGCCAGAAGTAGATTTATCAACAATATTATTTTCAACAGATGTTAATCAAATAATGGCAAACTATTGATTATTGATTAGTTCTAATTACAACAAGTGCCATCTACCCAGAAAAATAAGAGAATAGAAACGATAAAAGTAATGAACTCGTTGATTATGAGTAATATTTTTCTATAAAATAACTGTCTCTTTGGTATTCTGCCATAGTCATGTTCTCAATACTTGGTTATGTAGCAAAACTTATATAATAATGATTGTACTAAGTACAATAAGCAAATAAAAAATTAAAATAAAATTAGAATTATAATTATATTTCGCAACATTCATACTGTTAGAAGTTTACGGTTTAACGGTAGAGCCACGCAGCAGCCTCGGCTGTTGCATGAATGGGCAGGCTCGTCCGGGTAAGTACCACGACCTCACAGAAGACCGGCGTAAAATGGAAGTATGAGAAATACTTTCGCGTTTCGTCTGGTGAGTGAGGTAGCCGGAGCCCAATTTCCAAAAAGGTTGTCAACGCATCTGCAAAAACCCCGAGGGTTTTTGTAGCAGATGTCTATGGGCAGCGGTATTCACTACTCTTGATAGTAAAAAAATTAAATATGCCGATTTCGTGACGATGTTTTCCTTCACCCATGAGCATGTCATATTGCAATGATACGAGCATATCATATAGCACGCACCAACATTTCAACTAAGGTTGCTCGAGGATTAATACAAATGTTAATTAAAAGCGATGCTGAGCTATCACGCCTCTGTAAAAAGCATAAAAGGGGCAAATTATTTTTAGTATACAATATTTGCACCAATCACCGCCAATTTAATAGACCCGTGGTGGATATAATGACTTTAACGTACACCTGTAGTTTGTAATAACTTTCTTAAGCCGCATTGTGATTCGCCAAAGTCCTAAACCGCAAAGTAAATTGGAGGTGCGCGTAGATGCAGTGCAAGACAACCGCAAACCTGCAAAGCTCCGCCTGTAGCGAGTACCTTGCCTCCTTTAATAACCTTAAAATAACCTCTTATACACACGATGGTGTTATTTTGAAAGATCTCTAATTTTAGAATATTTCGTAGGCTCTCTGATGCATTTGTTGAATAAATAAATTAAACAAATCTTCTTGATAAGTGACAACAGCTAAAATCAAAAGCAAAAAAGAGTAAAATGGTGACAGGTCGTATCGATAACGTAAACTTTCTAACATTTCAATTGATATATGACATGACAGACAAATAAACTTTCCACTAATAAAAGCGATTGGCCAAATCTTTGATTCCAATAAGACTTATCCCCACAGCCATGAAAAAAGATAGCACCGACATTGTGAAGTTGAACAGCTCCATTCGTCGCGGTTTCCCAAATAAGATTCCGTTTCACCTGAGGCAGCGTTTTGTTCGCTCAAGGTGGCGGATCGGTTAGGCTCGTTAGGGGCAAGTTTTGCGAAGAGATTGCGCTCTCGCGCTTATCGACGAAGCTCTAATGGAGAAAGCGCGGGAGGCACGTGGTGTGCCCCCGGCACATGAGGGGGAAGGAGGGGGGGGGGGAGTGCTAGTCCTTAATATTAATTGCTCAATATTTGATATTGGAATACGAAAACTGCCTGATCGTATACCTATCACAATATATGATAAACTCAATAATAACATAAACCGTAAATCTTTTCTAGGTTTCATCATCTTTTTTTAAGTTCGAAAGATTCAAATGAAGATTCAAATGTTGTGGAATAAATTATTTTATATAATGAACATACAATCAACTAAATATCACCTAACCATTTTGTTAAAGGCAACAACAAAAATAACGCTTAACATGGGTAGAAATCCATATCCTTAAAAAACAAGAACTTTACCGCTACATAAGTGCTTGCTTATTTCGTCCGAACAGCATGCGACGAGGTGGCCGAGTGGTTAAGGCGTTGGACTGCTAATCCAATGTGCTCTGCACGCGTGGGTTCGAATCCCATCCTCGTCGATATCGTTTTGTGGAATTAAAACGGGGCGAAATAAAATTTTTGGGTATTTTAAATAAAATAAAGGCTTTGAAATTATTTTCTCGAAGATAAATTACATATTTATAGGTTATAGTTTCAAAACATTTATTTTTATTACTTTGTTATGATTGTAATGAATGTTAATCATAAGTTCAATCATTTTTAACAGAATATAACAAAGAATAAAAAATATAGAAATGACCGAAAAATCTTCTATGGTTACTATGTTATACTTCGATAGGGAAAGCAAACAGGTTTATGAAATTTGAGGGAATGTCTAATTATTTTAAATGTTTTCGCATTATAAACCGTAAACGACTTAAATTTTTCAGAATAGGATATAGGACTGTGCGTAATAGGATTTTATCATTCTTAAATACATACGTTTATTTGAGAATTAATAGTTTCATTTGAAAACAAACGCCGCTACTACTGTCATAAAATAACTACTACGGATTGGATTTTACTTGATTATTTTTTCTTGAAACACAAATAAAAGGAATTTCTTTGCTTTTCCGTGTCTTAATTAACCAAGTGTAGCTTTACGATTTCATACATATTTTTTCAACGCTTCGATACTAATTAATCCGTTAAAAAGATAATTAAAAAATCTTCAGTAACAGAAATATACGCCAGAGCTTAAAAGTGAGTAGGCTTTTAATAACGTTAAGTACGTTTTGCCTACCAGTTTACTATATTTTTCGCATACCGCGTCTGTAACGAAAAAGATTGTAGGTATAACCTAACTCAGCTCAACTTTTCTTTAGCCAACGATGTTTATGCAGTGCGTATTACACTAAAGCCGCTAATCCAGTTGGTAGCTGCACCGAGGTGGCCGTTTAATATGGGGGTTGCGAAGTTCCAGTTGCATCCCGACTAAAGGCTTATTGACAAATCCTAACTAGTGAAGAAGTTAGCGACTAGTTTAGGCCGGGGAACTTGCCCGTATTGTGCGCTAAGATGATGCCGCTATAAGAACAGGTTTACGTCATCGCCGAGACGCTCTGTACGAGATTATGTTATGTCTTCAATTAAAATCCGAAATTTGATCATCGCCGCCAAGATGAAATTATATCATGTCTTCACTTAAAATTCTCTAATGAACGTTGAATTTTATTTGATCCTAAATCAGGTTGCTGCTTACGGAATTAAAATATTTAGGAGTAAAAATAATGACAATATTTTTACGGAAAAACTTTAAAATCTAACTTTCCATTCTTTTTTATGGTTAGTTTGAAAACGAAAACTTGCAAAGCATTAAATATTTGCCAAATGAATAGACTTTATCGTGAACATTGTCGGTTTGTAAACTTGCCATCGTGGCGTGTTGTCTGAAGGAGCGGAGAGGCCGTCGCGCCCTCTCCGCTCCGCTGCGGGCTCTTTTGTCGAGCACACGTGATGGAGGGCGCCCTCGACGCCACTCCCGGGGCCAGCCGTCTGCCTCAAAGCGCACCTGAACTAGATCGAGTATTAAGTGGCTAGCTCCTTACTTATGATCACTATGTCACTTAACCCTTTCTGCTAAGGCTTTGCTATGATATCATAATTTAAATCCTTCTTTTTTTTAAAAATAATTAGCTTGCCTTCCCATCCCGATAAAGAAACCATACGAAGATAATATCAAAAGATGTAGATAGTTACAACTTCTCTCATCTTAAAATTATAGGTAGGTATGTATATTCTATATTATAAAGAAGAACTTCTTTTTTTCCGTCTAATATTGAAACTCTACAATTAAAATAAGATAGAACACTAGTCAGTACGCCTTGCGATTTTGAAGTTATTACTTACAACACCTGGAAAATATATTTTGGGTAAAGTTTAAACTTCGGTAAACATTTGTTGAAACTAGTATATATAAACTTATTGAAGTAGTATAAATATTAGAAAATCTAAAGCTCAAGTGATCGTATATCCTTCGTTGTAGTCCTAATTGACACTTGGGCGTTTAAAACGTGGTTGAGCCTGCTTTGTCCTAGTCCCTATTGTTGGTTCTGCGGAAGTGTGTCCCCGGGACGCGAGGCACAATTTATGAGCAATTACACAGTGCCCGGGGCGAGGTGGGAAGGGGGAGCTGCTAGTGTTGCCATACCTCACTTCCACAAAACAATTTTACTGTAATGTTACGACGACTAAGACGGCTTACATAATGCAAATGATAATTACTTCAGTGTCTTTCCTACAATTAACTAAATGCACCCTGACTCAAAATAATTATAGGTGGCTATTCGAATAGGCTAGTGAGCCGTGATAACGGGCGCTCGCCTTTAATTCAATATACTCGAGCAACCTGAGTTCGATCCCAGGTGCCGGCACCAATGAAGTTTTTAACTTTAAGTGCTGACTTATCACGTGCTCCGCGGTGAAGGAAAACATCGTGAGGAAACCTGCATATTTTCGAAATAGTAATAAAAAAATATATATTTCGAAAATATGTGAAGTCCGCCAATCCGCAGTGGGGCCGTGTGGCGGACTATGCCCTGATACCCTCTGTATAGAGGAGGCCTTTGCTCAGCAGTGGGACATGTATAGGCTGTAACTTTACTTTACTTTAACTTTTATTCGAATAAATAAAAATAAATGCACATTGCGTGCATGCAAATTTTCTCTAATTTACAACAATATCCTATTTTTGGAATAACAGTTGCGGAGGTATTTTAACAGATAAATATCAGATCCAAACCAATTATTTGTAGGCATTGTAGGTACCTATCCCAGGGGCACAACGGTCACTGTGAAGGCAGCAGACCGATGCAGGTCCTAAAGGTCTTGCAAAACGACCCTTAGGAGTAGGACCCGGTGGCTCGAGTGGGTCTTGAGTTATATCTAGCACTGCGGGGATGGTACCTCCATCCGTCTTAGCCATACGAAGGAAGGGCCGCGGTAGTGTTCTGAAAGGAGATCCCATGACTCCTTAATTGATTATCGGGCGACCACCGTGGGGTTCAGTTGGTGCGAGTCCGATATAACCTAGGTCGCCCCTCACAGGGAGCTCAGGTATCATAACGGGTTTCCCCACAAAAAAACAGGGAACCCACCCACCACCCGCTGCACAGAAGCAAAATAAAAGCAAGCAATTTAGTACATTTTTCATTATGAAGTGGACCACGTCAAGCAAAGTAAAAATATTCACATTAAATCAAATATCGTTTGGAGTAAACTAAGTAGCGCAATGTCCGAAAAATCGTAGCACCGTGAACACCCCGAAAAAGGAGATTGGCTTCGTTTAGGAAAAAAATACAGAGCCAACGGCCTCCCCCAGTTTTGTCTTCGTTAGCTGTCAACGTGTGAACATCCCACTGCGCCCCGGAATAATTGCCGGCGCGTCGCAACTTGGACCTCATTATAATAGGAGCGTTCAAAAGTTCGTTTGTGTTAACAGTTGTTGCCCAATTAGTTTGGGAATGTTATTACGGGTCGGCGGAATTCTGTTATATCCATTTTCTGTTTCATCCGAACCTTCACGTCGTAATCATTATGGTCATACGTCTTGTACACATATTGCATAGTTTTATTTACATATATTTAATTGTTCATATAATAATTATATTTTTAGTGCAACTGAAGACATTTATCATTCGGTAGATAATTATATTCTGCCAAAAACCAAGTACATTCAAACAAAGTATTACATGTCCATAAGGTGTTTTTGTTCTATTTTATTTTATTTTTATTGTTTCGATGATATAGTAGCATGTTGTGTACATATATTTTTGGCGGACAGTATGTATTCGTTTAGCTCATTTAACTTTACTGTAGTGTTTATGTTACTGGTTGCTGTTTTGTGTACCAAATAAACTAAAATTAAAATGTAGTGTCGAGATAAACATCTTAAATTGTGTGTGTGACGCGTTTAAACCAAGCTTCACTGACGTTGCATCGGCCACCAGGAATTTCCTAGTAAATCGTAAAATAACTGAGCTTATAACATTCGCCGTTAACACGTCGTCAGTAACGAGTTCAGCACGGTCAACTGCAAGATCACATTACGCGTTCAGTGTTGAATGTACTGCCGGGGGGAGTCAAGGGTTCGTTCGACTGTATGATTAATTTTGCCGCACTTATCAAGTTTAGTACCCTACTCGATCCTACTGAAATTACTTGTATTCTTCCGCCGATGAAACAAAGTTTTCTATCGCATCATCATTAATTATAACACAGAACGTATGACTCACACGTATGAGTACTGCTTTCATACCTAGACGATTCAACAATGATACAGTACATGAATGTAATACGTATATTCCTTCCAGGTATACTTATATTTAAACGTCAGGTTTTAAAGGAGTAGAGCAGTGCCGTTACTACTGGGGCTTCGTTACTCTTAGGAAATATTTATAAGAGCTAATGAATTATAAAATCTCCACGTAACTGTATCGATCACCACAGTCAGTGCGTTATCTGAAACGCAGCGAAGTAGAAATGCGGATGACGGACATGATAGTCGCCAATTAATAATAATGGAGTGGTAATCGTGGCATCTTCCTTGCTCGCTTCTTATCACCGCGGGCCACTCGACTGCGCCGATGTTATCTGTACTTAGCTTCGCTAGCCGCTTAGTGCAAGAACTTATTCCACAAGTTATGACGTTGCGTTCACCACCTGTTATTTTGTGATAAATAATCTAGGCTAGAAACTGCGTACTTATATCATTCTTTGATGACTCTTTCCAAACTTCTTAATAATTTCCATTATAGACTTTTTTCAACGTGAAGACGATCAAACAGATTGGGTGGATAGCTTCATCCTATATGACTTTAGAATGGTATAATAGTAATAGTATTATTCACAAGTCAATTAGTTGGAGTATATTTGGGTAAAGTTTCAAAATCTTTTATACCCTCCTCTATAGGGTATAGAGGAGGCCTTTACCCAGCAGTGGGACACGTATAGGCTGTTACTTTACTTTCAAAATCTTTTACAAGTTATAAATTTAGCAATGAGTAGTGTCAGGAAATCTTAGTTCAATTTACGCACTCATAATATGATCGTCTCATACCGTGAAATCGCATCGTCTAATTGTAATCCATGTCGTTAACCTCGTCCTTGAACATAAACTAAACGCCCCCGTTCGCGCTCTTAGCGTGCCCGTAACTGAAAACACAGCTTTAGTATGGGCATACAGTTCGTTGACGACTGGACTAACGGATAAATTCTTCGTCATATATTTGAAATCTAATATAAATAATTGAAATTATATAAAGACACTGTCAGCTACATGGTAAATAATAATAATAACAAGAATAGTAATAATTTCGTTGTTAGTTAAATTAGATCAATAACTAGCTCAAATTCTAACAGAAGAACTATAGAGATACGAGTCTGTTTATTTAAATATTTTCTTTTAAAGACTGACTTTTATTCATCTCAATTAATAACAGGCCTTTATAGAATATCATATTCTACATCGTGAACAATGTTGCTTCTAAGCGACATATCCAATTTTGTTAAGTTCGCACTAAAGTAAACCTTTACTTGAAACGGCACCATTAGTGCAGTACTTAAGCACCCACCGAGCTACCTACGTGCCTCGCGTACTCATCACAATCTCGTCACCTGCCAACCAACCCGCCAACTCTCCTCTGCCGCAAAAGCTCGTGTGTCACACGGGAGAGTAATGTGTTACGCTCGCGTGCAATGTGTAATACTTTTGTCATCGCCGCTAACATTTCGCGAGACGGGCCGAGGCGAAGGTCGCCCGCGGCTTTAATAACACGCTCCGCGGATGATTTACGACGCGATTAGGAGTCGGGAGACGCGTCGCGACGCCCCAGCTCATTCCCGCACCAGGCGGCGGATAGCAGTTTAATTCCAGCAGTACGTGCATACCATCTTTCTCAACTCTCCAACTACACAACACAAACGGCGTGTTTCTGTATCGAGAACGCGTTTGGTAAAAGAAACTCAGCGTCACTCTGTTACTCACGATAAATTATACACGATTCGCTAACGTTTAGTTGTTTAGTGAAGTTGGTTTATAGCTTTAAGTAATAATATTAACCAATAGCTTTAACTGTGGTAGGTCCTCGCAATGACTTCACTATTGCACAAATGGGCAGGTCGGTCTGGGGGAGTACCGCGACCTCACAGAAGACCAGCGTAAAGCGGAAGTGTTACACTTCTGCGTTTCGTCTGGTAAGTGAGCCGTAGGTAGCCGTAGCACTTTAATAAAAGGTGGCAACGCATATGCAACCCTAAGGGTGTCGCAAATGTTCATGTGCGATGGTTAATACTTATCATCAAGTGAACCGACATCTCGATTGCCCGCTTCTAACATAAAAAATTAAAAAAGAATTGAAATTTTCTGAAGAATATTAAATTGAATAATTAACATTTTTGCCATTTCTTTTTAGTTCACTGGATAGGCACAAATAATGTGAGTCTCAAAATAAAACATTCCCCGTGTGAGCGCCATGTGTGCGCGCCCTAGGGCATGTTTGATTGCAGCGGCAGGAGGCTGCTGATTAAGTGCAATTAACTGCTCGCCGTGTTGGTTGATGGCTTCATTTACAGAAAATCTGCTACCTTCCCGGAACCCTCGGCGAGGCGACAACTTAGCCGGAAAGCCGCTTGTAATAACACGTTAAAGCGTTTCATAACCCGTTTCAAATCCACGCACACGGAAAGCACTGAACACGTAAATGATCCAACACTTATACTTTCAACTCGAAATGAATTTCGCCCTCTAATTAAGAACTTTACGGGTATTTTTATGATTAAGAAATACGCACACTAAATCAAAGGCAACAGTGTTGGTAATGGGATAATTAATATTGAACTCGTTCGGATTACCACATTCGCTTTAATTGCCATTGTACTTAACTTCGCCGTAGCTTTCAACGGAAAATTTATTTACGTTAAAGCATCAAACCATTGACTACCGTAATCAACCGTTGACTAAATTTTATAAATTATCATCATTTACTCACACATTTCCTCATCCATCAACGTTACTCGTATTTTATTTATACATTTACAAGTTTTATAAATTATTGACATTATAATTTGACTCTAAAAAAAACTCTTAATCATTTGTTACCGCACCAGATCAGCGTATACTTTAATAAGGCAACAAGCAACTTTAACAGTGTTCATTATATAATTGAGATTAAATATAAATATCTAAATATGACGTGGTCTAATAAGCTATCAAATACCTTTAGTTCTTTATTCTACCATCTTAAATGAAAGGTAGATAACCTTCTTCAATAGCTATTTGTTGAAAAGAGTGACTGGCATACACTCGCGATATTGGGTCCCCAGTTGTTTCATATGTACACGCAAGCTTTTTCATCATATCATGAAACTAGAGTTATGAACCGCCAGCATCATTCGCCTGATTCGGTCTGATTGCCGCCCCGATCACACGCCACCTAATGAATTCAGCCGCCACCGTCTCGCTATTTCAATTACCGCTCCGCGCCCTCCGCTATCGCTGCGCCAAATGAGGCGCCATCTCCGACGTGGCTGCACGTTGCCGGCTGCGCCCGATAGCCGGAAATTCCAACCCCGTTCCGGCTGGCAATGAACGCGTAGCATTACAACTATGCAGTGCGCCCTTAGGTAGCGGTATGCGCGCCGTCTCGACTCAATTTGACGACTCTAGTGTCATCACCAGTCCGATTCGGTGAAGCGATCATTGAGGTAGATTTTAACTCGTTTTATTGCATAAGTATTGTTATGATTAGATTTTTGATTTTAGTCTTCTATTGTCATTTATTGTGTTGAGCTTAACCAAATGTCCTTGAAGCCGTCCAGAGAATTTTAACGATGTCACAATTTTTTTTATCATTAATTTAATTAGGAACAATATATAATACTTACAACATTAAATGTATCTAAATTACATATTACTTAGTAAATCCAGTTAATGGTGCCAGAACTCTACTGCATTTCCTCGCTGAATTACCTTTGAGCTAAAAAAAACCCAGCCCTCTTGCCGCGGCATGCAGCCTTTTTTTTGTTAACGTGGGGGAAATGCCTACCCATACCAGGTCTAAAACCCTCACGATGTTCCACCTACGCGCATATAGGCAGAGCCACGGGACAACTTTCACACCCTGCGGCGACCCTGCCAGCGCTGTTGCATTCAGAGTGGGCTCAATGAGGCCACTCGGAGCTGCTCTCGGGCCGGCCTTACACCACAGGTCGGCCCAGTGTGAGTTCCTCTTAGCTTCCCGTGGGTGACCAAGCCACGGCTACTAAGCCGCGGCGTTTCGAATTTCGATGTACGGGGACCCCACGGACCCAAAGTTTCATTCATATTCTATTGTTGCAATCGAGAATATCGTACAACAAATGGGTAATACTTGTATTGGTAATACTTATAAATAGGTAATAAATAGGATAAAATCACCTCAATTCATTTCACCTTGCATATAACAGTTGTACTGAAAAATCTATGCCCATGTGCTTTACGTCGAGCGTCGTTTTATAAGATAATAACTTTCAGTGGTTTGGATGACACAGCTAGTTAGCTAGTTTTCTAACAAAATTATTTTTATGAATTGTTTCTTAAGAAAGCTAAATTCTTTCTTCGTTATAATTCAGCGTAGATTTCACAATAAATTTTATCATCGGATCAAACGTCAAAATATTAAAATGTTTTCGCGCATCGACCTTATATACTATTAAACTTTGTCAATAAATAAATAAATATATATATAATATTTATTTGAGCTCTCTTGACAAAGTTCATATTCGCTTGTGTTCTAACGAGTAATGTTCTAATTTGCAAGTTACATACCTCATTAGGGATCCGTGCGCGGACGCCAATAGCAACAAACGGATTAGCACCTCGCCCCGTGGAGACGGAACCACCGATCCTATCGCCGGCACCCAGCGCGCTAAGGCACAAGCTGAACGCGGTTCAAATATTAAAAAAATCAAAATCATTTATTCATCGACATAAGAAACATACATTTATCTATCCATATAATTTTTTTTAAATCTACCACCGTTTCGTACCGAGGTTCCTCTAACGGAGCAGAAACAGGCGAACGAGACTCCGTAGGTATCCTCTTTTCTATCATTTTTTTTCTTAAAACATTAAAATATTATACAACTGATTTCTATTTTCTTTTAGAAATAGCGTGAGAGCGACATACCTGATTTACCTTGTTGGTTGTACCTATGTACACGAAATATAGACTCTATAGACTCTAGCATAGTACACACCATCTGTGTGTGTTAGTTCAATTAGTGTTGTCTGTGCTACAGAGTGCATGGTCATTCATGATCAGGATGTTTAGTTTATAGAAACTTTATAGAAACTTGGAGCTTCAAAACCAAAACTAAACACGACAATATCCGAAGATAACTAATGTTTAACAATGTGTACGTTTCACGTCCGCTTAAACTCGTGAAATTACAACTTGTATAATATCATACTTTGTTAATGAATTTAAATATCGTTCAAATTGAATCTTTTTTGTTCGTTTCGTAAAGGGTAAAAAGTAAGCAAGTAAATCGCTGTCAGTCGCCGCTTGGACCGCACTTCGTTGGTCGGGGAGCGCCTTTGTGCGGCGGCGTGTACCCAACACATCTTAATAAGCTGGAGAGCGTGAATGGCTGGAGATTTCGTGAGGCAGCTCTGGGGCCTTCCGTCCGCGCGGCCCTCATTGTGCACACCTAATGAGATACAGCGCCCGCTATTCACGGCCCCCGCATGAGAAATGTTCCTTTGGCCGCGAGGAGCTTTTGTTAAGCTACTAATTACTCAACCATTGCGCGCTTTAGTTGTGGACACTCGCTCACGACCAATAAGCATTACTCAATTTGTAATTTCGTTGGTCTTTCTAATTTATTACATTTTAATAAAAACAACGATCATTATTTACAGTCATACCCAATCGTTTTTGAAATTACAAATATTTTCAATCGATAGAGATCTATGTGAAAAGTTGTCAAACGAGCAGACGGTTCATCTAATGTTAAGTAAATATAAAAAGATATGTAACTATGAATAAAAAAATTTGTGACTTTCCCTTATTTATTATATATTATAATATAGATATGTGAAAATCACAAAAATGCTTACTTGTATTAAAAAACAATATATTTTTTATTTGTTGGTTAGACAATGACAGTTCGATGACTACGTGACGCAGTTGCCATGGTATTGGCTTCAGCGTCGGGGGTCATGGGTTCGATTCCCACACGGGACAACTATTTGTGTCACCCACAGATAGTTACGTCGCATCTGGGTATTTGTCCGCGTGAAATTTATGTTTATAAAACGTCCTTACACCACAGAAGTCTAATAGTAATATATTCCAAACTATAATTATAGTAACGAATTATACAAAAAGAAATTAAACATAATTATCTTAATAATAAGGGCAATGTTTTTTCTTCTAAATTAACAGAATAACAAAAAACAGAAACAGTACATATTGAAATACATCCAAATAGCAATAATCTATATTTTCCAAAATCGATTACAACAAACACAAAAACTTTTGTCGCCGCAGCCTGTGATAAACTAAGACAAATTAGGTACAATATTAGTTACGATGAATTGTTTTTGTATTGGCGGCAATATTACAGTTCTATAATAGAATTGTCTTCTGATAAAGTTTCTGTCTTCTAACGAAGGAAAAACGTAAGTTTAAATTATTTTCAAATATTAGCGCAAAATGTTATTAATAGGTAATCTTTGCCTGTAATGGCAGATTTCCTTAACATTACATTTAAAGATTTAATATCGTTTTCGCCGAAATGTTTTATTTCAATAGTATCACTTCTCTATTAATGATATTGTAAACAATTTCCAAAATAATTTACGGACTTATAGTTATTTATTTTAATTTTATACCCATACGTAGTTTTCAAATACTTTAGAGCATTCGTGGTCACAGAATGGAAATTTCAGTGTTTGACGTCCTTATGTCTTTGGGCTACCTGAAAATTATTAATTTTATTCCAATCCACACGTCGTAAATGCTAACTGTATCTTGAAGCCTTGCAGTGGTGATGCAACAGAGTCTAGTTTTAAATGAAAACTGGAATCCTAGCCGGTGATAGGATCCAAAAAACTTTTCTGTTAAAATTTAATGTTTCTTTATCTTAATAGAATCGCGAATCATTCTCGGCTCTCTCAATGACACGTTTTCGGGAGTTTAAATTAAAAATTAATCACGTTATAATTCGTGAAATACTTTTGTTATATTAACCACTTGTAAGCTTTTTCTATATTAATAGCACATTCATCGCACGGTTCCATATACGTGGCCATTCCGATGTGTTTGTGGAGTTGACGCATGCCGTTGGGTCCACCTTCGACGTCTGCACTCGTAATGCGTTTAGCGAGGGCCGACACGCGCGCGCCGAAAAGGTGGCTAATTGCTTTAGCCGTCCGCTCTGCTCCGGCCGAATTCACTTTGCAGGACGCCCCCATAGCCCCGCGGCGAGGCACGCTCTGCGGAACACCAACACGCGCATTTTTAAGTGTTCTATGTATCTATTTGTGCTTAGACCGTGAATAAACGTTTCTTCTTCTTCTTCTTCTTCTTCATTCGGGTCCCTAAACGGTCCTTCGACACTATCGCTTAGGCCCGATTCAATTGCTTAGCAAATATTGTTGTTTTGTTTCTTTAGCACATGTTTAAGTTTTGGAGATTTTGGCATTTTTTATTTGTAGTTTGTTTTACCTTACACCAATGATCCTTCACAAATGTAAATATTTTATCGTATTAAAAAAGTATGAGTCGTACCTACACGGTTAAAAAAGCAGTTTTTGCACTGTTATGCAATATTTTTTATAACACTGAGAACTAAAAGTTTCGAAGAACGCGAGATCACATTTACTTACCGGAAAGTTATTTATAGCCGCACCGTACACTCATAATATGTTAACCAAGCACCTGCAGTACTGGCTGTCTTCAAATCGAATTGTAATTTCACGGTCCTCGTGTTACGCTATTGCGAACATCTCGCACCGTAGCTGACAAGGCGGGCTTAAAGTGCGCGAACAGTGCGACACGACCAACTTGTCGCGCCACGGCCGACGAGCTTGTCACGTGTCAGCCACTAGTTCTCCACACTTAGTGACACTTGCGTTGAAACTGTCATAGATGTTATTATTATATTTGACACAATACAACACACTCTCGGCCACCACTATGGTTTTCATCGTGTTTGGTTATAGTTTTAACTCTCGATGTTGCGAGTATCTTGCAGTGTGGACCATGAAATTCACTGAAATGTGTCTTATTACAAATGGTATCATAATTATATTTTTTATGTATAAGCGATACGGAGATACATTTCAACTAAATAGCAAATTGCGTTTTTGTCGTCCAGAAGGTCCAACATAAAATGTAAAAACGTGTCCCGGCAGGATCCAAGAAACTTAACGAAGTTTTTAAGTGTATGAATTAGTTTTTCCATTACGGCTGGAACAATAGGAAAAAAGCGCTGAGGTCGTAGGACTGGAATTGAATACCGTAATCTTTTGAAACTTAACATAAAAAAACATTATTTGTTAGTTGCTACTTTATCGCTCCTTTTCAATATGAATGCAAAAAGTGGTACTTACAGTGGTAAACGTCGTAAAGCAATAAAAGTGACTTGCCATGCTCAAAAATTTCTTTTGCATTTGCACCAAAAACATACAACAAAATGAGTGAATTTTATTGAAAATGTCTATAATAGAACATAATATAAAAATAAGGATGATGGTTGCATTCCAGGAAACTTTGGAGTCTTTAATTATTTTTATCTTGGTTCATTTTTAATTGCGCATTATATAATTCCCCAAATGTATACTCCGGCTCTTTCGAACCGCATATTTTGCAGACTACAGTTTTGTTTTATGCGAAAGGTCGCGTCGCTGGCTATGAGGTAATTGGAAGCTATTTCCGCAGCGGCGCAAATATGCGGTTCCACTTGCTATTCCGAGCGTCTGGGGTCTCAATTAGACAATTCTATCGTCATAGATACACTAAGAGGTGACCTAGACGAGTATGCCGCAGGCAGGTTTGGGGAGGGGGGCCAGAAAATAGCCGTTGGCTGGATGTAACTGGCATAATTGCCAGACGTCACTCCACATTCCCACATTACCTACATAGATTAATAAATACTTGCATTTGTATAGTCTATTTGAAACACTTATTATAAAAACATGGAGTAAAACTTGTTTTCAACTTACAGTTTAATTACTTTTCGTTAGAACTCCTAACATTGAACAAGAAATGTGTGAAACTGTTTATGATTATTAAACAAAATAAACCTACAAGTATTTGATGCCATATAACGATATACTTTAAAAAACAATTACGATTCTATTAAATTAAAATTGTAATCCATAGGTAAAGTGGTTCCATTTACTTTATTAAGAGGCCAAAGGAATCTCTGCCCCGCATGCAATCATTTTAGTGAGTCCCAAAATTGAAGCGGTGTGGACGCGATTGTGCATCGGGTTCGACAGGTGAGCAGCCTTCGGGGAGCTAATGCACTCCCCCTCGCATTAATTGTTTTAGCTACTTACATGAGTGCGCAGTGCGCTCTGAAAGTGCACAAAAATCTGCCATTATTACCTTGGCCACTGTCAGGAGTAAAGACAAAGGATAGGTGTTATTTTAATACACAACACTCCACAATGTCGCAAATAAGTTTTTATCAAACAAAGTTTTATGCTATTATTAAGTGACGACGACAATTTCAACCACATTGAGTAACATAAGCGAGTCTCCGCAAAAAGCTAGAAGAGAAAAACTCAACATCTAGATTTTAGAACGTTCCTTCGGCGAATAACAACCGATCGTACATTACGCGATATCTTGTACTGAAAGATATCGTGACTGCGTTATCGTTCAATCTGTAATCGCTCGTCGCTCGTGGCTCGGCCACCGCGCGTCGGCTGACATCTCGCCATTTCAAATGTGCGGCTCTAGTTTGCTGACGCAACGGATCTCGGCGATCACCGACTGATGAGCGGTTCCCACTCGTCGCCAGAATACGCTGAGCGTGAATCACTCCCCGGATTCGGTGGCACGGATCGGTAAATACGTTAGGTATTCGGACACTCTTATAACGATTCTCAACGCTTCACAAAATTACTCACACTCGTGTGTGTAACGACACACATATGATACACGTAGACCTAGCCGATTGCAATACGCGATAAAGACGTGCAGAAAGTAAAATCGGCCAGGTGGGTAGGTGTACCATATAAAATATAACAGCAATTGCGCAAGTATTTATTATTTTTGAAAGGTGTCCCAGACTTATTACCGCGGCTGGGGAGAAGAGGGCTGATTCTTTTCTCGCACAAAGGCTAGGCTTAACTCTTCAGCGAGGCAATGCCCCTAGTGTTCTTGGCACCTTGTCACGTGGCCTAAGTATATTAATAAACATAAAATTTAGATAGATATAATATTAATAATATTGGTATAATCTATATATTAATACATCAAGTAAAAACTTTGTACGCCTTTTTACGAAAATTGCGCGGACGGAGGAGTATGAAATTTCAAAAAAAAAAGTGTAGAAACATTTTTTTTTTAATTTCGAATAAAAAATACATTAAATTAATTTAAAAAAAAAACGGCCAAGTGCGAGTCGGACTCGCGCATGAAGGGTTCCGTACTAATCATAATATAATTATAATTTAAAAAGTAATTTAATTATTTATTAAAGTTATTGGTAAAAACCTATAATTATGTTACCTAACAACTGGTACTTAGCAACCGCCTCACCTATATTTTATGGGAGCCCAATAAAATATTTTTATTTTATTCTGTTTTTTAGTATTTATTGTTATAGCGGCAACAGAAATACATCAAATTTGAAAATTTAAACTGTCAGTTACAGCCCGGTGACAAACGAACAGACAGACAGAAAGACAGACTTAGTAATTCCCCGTTTTACCCTTTGGGTACAGATCCCTAAAATTGCACACTGTCATGTATAATTAATTAAGGACGAATTTCGACCACTGAGCGGCCACTAGTAATGATAAATATTTCATTTACTTATGGCATATTAATGGATTTCTTGTAAATAATTCGACAATTTATTTAGTCGACTTTAACAGACTAGTTGATTATTTACGCCGTTTTAATCTCTGTACCGGTTCCAGTACTAAATTCTGCATTTCATATCGACATTACTCAACTAAATTACAACTGGGAAACGTCTTAACTCTGTTACTTACTGCCAATAACCATTTAAAAGCAATGATACATAATAAAAGCACGTCGTAACAGGTATGATCCGTCGGACCTAATCTCTTTACGAAGCAGTGGGCACCTGACAGAGCGCACCTCGAGACGCAGCGCTCAGCCGGCCTCAGCCAGTTCGTGTTCAGACCGAGTTACGAGTATTAACGAGTGCCCAGTAATCCGACAGCTCGACGCTCGACGGCACCTCGAGCGTCCGCGCGGACCTGTCTGTGCGGGAGTTGATCTAATCAGTGTCCAATTATATTGAGCTACATTAAACTACATGCTTACCTATGCGAGCGAAGGTTCCATTGAAAACTTTAAAAAAGTACTTACAGATGTACAGAGGAGGCTTTTGCCCAACTGTGAGACATATATATAGGCTGATACCTTACTTTATTTTTTTACAACAGGCTAATATTATTGCGGCGTCGCGTTCCGACTCTGATACCCGAAAGCTTGCTTAAAGCATAAAAAGTTGTTTTAGTCTAAGTTTATATAAACTTCTTGTTCGTGTTACTAATGTTTGTGTAATCCTCCAACACAAGTCATTATTTCAAGTGCATGAGTCGTTTGAAAAATATAACGAATCTGATTTTTCGATCGCATAGCAGAAATATAAATTAAAATGGACACACATTATGTAGTGTAAAAAGCTTTGCTCGACCCCTAAGGCGATTAACTGACTAATTGCTTAAACTAAACAGAGAAGGTGTCCAATGATTTGCTTTTAGTCACTCAAGACATTGAATATCTCGTACATATCCAGCCTTCCTCATCTTTAATAGAGAAGCTAAGCACATGTTAAGTTAGCTGACACGTTTAGAAATTAGCGTGGCTTGGTGGCGCATGTGCGACACTTCGCATGAAGCAGTCCGAGTCTTCTTGATCCGGTGCAGCCCTCATGACACGCTCAAAATAGATTACTTAACTAACGGGCTTGTGACATCCGTGCAGCTTATTGTCAAATGTTTCACAAGTTGAGGATTAACTGCTACACACAAAAAGAAGAGGTGTCTTTTGTTGACAAATGTCAATTCACTGAAATAGTCTTTTCTATTATATCAGGTTTTGAAACAGCGAGATCAAGTTGTCAGTATGAATAATTTTACTCTTTGTTCGGAGTTACGCAACCGAACAGCGACATTGTCACTTTGTGCATCATAGGCACATTACACTAACGTACATATGTACGTTTCATGCCTAATTTGAAGCAGTACGCGACTCGCCACCG